TTCGTTTCAAATTAGCAACATATGTTTTTCTTAGAAAGTGCTTTTAGGTACTCAAATTTTCTGTCTGGTTGCGGTCGTAGTTGGATGGTGTGGACTGTTTGATTATCTTCGTTTATAAAATTGATGTCGACTCTAGAGATCATTTGTATTCCTTCTTGAATATGTGGAGGTAGAGGTGGCTGTAGAGGTCTACTAGTTATTATTTCACTTTCATTTTCCGATTTTTTCATTATTAGTTTTAGATAATGTGGTATAATCCTATCTGCTGAGCGACCTGGAAAAAACATACCATGATTATTTGTCATAATACCTTTGTAGGCTACTCACCTACGTTTCATTATTTATCATTTCATTTCATTTTATTACATGGTTTTTGGGGTTGGCGGCAAGTGTTGTGACATGGAGTTTGAAATAGCGCTGAATAAAATCCCAATAAAGCGAGTTAGCAGCTTTAAATATCTGGGACTTTTTCTTGCTGACAACCTTAAAGATGACATGGATATTGAGAGGGAACGTAGATCTCTGGCGGTAAGGTGTAATATGCTGGCACGTAGATTTTACCGCTGTACCGACCAAGTTAAAATCACACTATTTAAGGCGTATTGCCAAAGTATGTACACGGGTGGTCTATGGGTCAACCATACCAAAAAATCGCTAGATGTCCTGCGCGTCCAGTACAATAATGCTTTCAGGATGTTGTTGAGACTGCCCTCCTATTGCAGTGCTTCGGAGATGTTCGCGAAAGCTCGTACTGACGGATTTCACGCAATACTGCGGAAAAAAACAGCGTCACTATTAAGATGGTTGAGAGACAGTCAAAACAGCATCCTGAGAACCGTAGCTGAGAGTATGCACTCTCCAGTAATTAAAAAATGTGTACAAAGGGTGATTGGTACTAACAATAGTTTGTAAGTTTTCTATGTAACACTAACATTCGATGGACTTTGTCTGAAATAAATGCCTTATTATTATTATTATTTCATTATTCTATACTTTCCTCAAAATCATACTTTTTACTATTAGTTAGCTCACCTCTTTTCTTTAGTATTTTCTTCTTTTAATAGAATCTGTCAAATTCTTTTGTTTGCTAATGTCATATTTTTTTTAAATAGTTTATTTTACACTTTAAATATTATTTACTTTCCGCCGCATTGGTGGACCCTATATTGCTAACTCCCTAAACCTTTAATTCTAACTTCATAAAGTGATCCTGATATTGCAGGTATGTAGGATTACAAATCAAAATCACTAGTGACACAACAACAAATAATGTAGCCTCAAGAATTATAAATAGTCAACGATCGGCTGTAGGCTGATTCGAGTTGTTGGAGGACCTACGAAACCAATCCCAAAAAAAAAAATATAACTCACCGGGTCGTGATGCAATTCTTAAAGCCGCATCGAATAATCCGCCAAATAAAAGGTCGATCATAGTTCTATTACCATACCAAACATCCAATGCCTTATTAGTCAGCCATTTTGATGGCGACGACCTCTCTTTTTCCAAAAGATTTGTATGAGTACGTGTACTGACATCTTCCATTATCAAAAAACAAAATATTAAGCTAAAATATACTCTATTAACAATTGAACTAGACATTTTAAGATATTACTATAGAATGACATTTTCTGCGTTATTATATAGACAACTTGATGTTTTAATTTTTTGTTTATACTATCAAATGGGTACTATTCATTGACAAGGAAGTAAACTAATCAAGTTTCGATAACAGATAAAGTAACGAAACAATATGGAAGAAATTTAGTCCATTGATACTAATACATTGTTACTTGAGTGACGAAAGACGATTTCTGTGCATAAATTGTTTGTACTTTAAAATTACATCCACATATAAGAGCGGGAAATATGAAATTTTGCTTTAATGGATAAAATTTTGTAGGTTTACGGTTGTAATTATTTACCGGCATTATGTGAATAAGAATTTTAAAAGTTAATCTTCTTAAAACAAAGTTAAAGAAAAAAAAATCTAAAAAAACTCATTAATACATCCGAAAATCGATGCGACTAAACAAAATATTTTTAGAACTATGAATTTAAAAATCAAACTTTACAAATTAAAAAACTGTTCATATGCAGTTATTTTTATATTTTTTGGTAACTCACTACTATTAACCCACTCGAAAAAAAAGACTATCAAAATTAGTCCAGTCATTTAAGAGTTCAGTAACATTTTGTACACAAATGCAAAAATGTATAGCATGATTAACAAGCGATCGAAATAATATATTGTGAATTCATCTTATGATCTTTTAAATAACCTTGCATTAAGTATAAAGTGTTAGTATTGTGAGATTATTCAAGCAAGATGGCCGGTTTTGTGGCATTCCTAATCTTGACGCTTGTTGCTCATACATTGGCCGCCCCAGGTATGTATTTGTTTTTATTTTGGAGCACGTTTTTAAAGTGATACTTTTGTGATACTGTTCTTTGATCTTAAAGGTAAGTATTATTATTGGTGTGTTTAGTAAGTAATTAAGTCCTTATAAATGAATGTCAACCATATTGATCATAATAATGTAATTATTGTAGTTGCAACGATGTAAGTACCGCGATGTACAAAATTGTAAAACTGATATTTCATTATTATTATAATAGGTATTGTTATTTCTGTTATTATTAAATTTTAAATCACGCTAAATAACATTCTGGGGTTTAGTCATGCGAAATAAAATACTCAGCATTTTCCTTCTACGTGATATTCTGTGTGAATCAAATTATCTTTAAAATACAGGTTTTGAAGTAAATATAGCAGACAAGGAAGATAAACTTGTTTAATTTTTAATAACAATAATACTTCTAGAACACAATATTTAGGTTTCTTTGTGATGCAAAACTAGTTTAGTGTTTACAAGTGCGGCTGTCAAGTTGAAGGTTCTGTTTTGTTATGGTATCACCACCAGGTGTCTATGGGCGACGCCGAATGCGTACCATCAGGTGATCCGTCTGCTCGTTTACCGGTTTATGCCATAAAAAAAACCTAATGGTAAGTCATGGCCACTCAGAACACCAGAGGCGTAACAAGTGCGTTATCGGCCTTTTGAGGATTAGGAAATTGAGAATTGTTGCAGATTGAAGAGATTGGGAGGTAGGCAACCTCACTCATACGACGCAACACGACGAAACACAACGCTAGCGTTGTTTTATGTCGATTTTCTATAAGGCCGTGGTATCACTCCAGTTGAGCCGGTCCATTCGTGCCAAAGATTGTCTCCCACTCTTAAAAGGATCTGATCATTGTGCAAAGTGTCACTGTGGTCTAATTTGCTTTTCGAAAATGCTAAGTAATAACAGCACAGAATTTGGGACTGAGTTCAATATACAATATTTATGGCAATGGTATTTTTGTTACATGGGACTACTGACAATATAACATAACTTAAACATCAAAAAGCCAGGCAACCGCTAAATCTAAATGCACACATTTGAACATAAAACAAATTTAATGTCATGAGCAAATGTTTCTTTTTTTTATAATAAGCCGGTAAACGACCAGACGGATCACCTGATGGTAAGCAATCGGCGTCGCCCATGGACACCTGGAACACCAGAGGCGTTACAAGTGCGTTACCGGCCTTTTGGGGATTAGGAGTTTGAGGAGCGTTAGGGATTCAGGGATTGTTCTTTGTTGATTCAAGATTTTCTGGTATAAAATATCAAAATTATTGGAACAAAAATTGTGATATTCATATTTGTATATTTTCAGAAAACTATGGAACAGCAGCTGTATCTCATGGCAGTATTGGTGTCGGTGTAGTTGAAGGTGGAACATTTGGGGATGGTGCATTCAGTCTCAATACACGAAAAGAGGAAAGAGGAGGGGAGTAAGTATTGTTATTAATTATTAACAACTGACTTCTGTCAGCGGTTTCGTTCGCGTTCTTGGGATAAAAAGTATCCTAAGTTTTGTTAGATTACATTACCTATAATTTAGGTATTAACTAAAAATAACGATGATAGTTTTTCGCAATATATTTACGTAAAAAAGAGATAACTTGAAACTAGTAGAGTTTTGTTGCCACGACCGCGCACACTGTTCATGAAGAAGAGTCCCTCTGTGACTCGAAACTATTAAAGCTTTTCCCAATATATTTACGTGAGTTAACCCGTTATGTTTAGTTAATTCAGTATGTCTCACGAAATATATAGTTATTATACAACCAAATTTCATTTATCTTGTAGCTTTTACGTGAGTAACAAATATTATATACATCTTCACTTTTATAATGATTCTAGTCATGATTTGTAATTGTAAATGTAAATATTATGTATGTTAAGAACATACAGATGACTAACAATTCTATTTTTCATTTGTTTCAGTACATTCTGCAAAGTATTGCGGTTAATTTTCTCATCACAAAATTGCTGAAAGAAAATATTTTCAACTGCCACTAGAAATACTCAATATACAAGATTTGGAATATTAAAGTAATTAAACAATAAACATTTTCAGTTACTTAATTTAATTTTATTTTAACGAAATAAAACATACAAAAATAGTTCATCTTCAATACAAAATAAGAATTGTAGCCAGTGAGGTTGGACAACATGTAATAAGTACGTATCTATGTATGTGTGAACATATAGTAATTTATTCTTTTCATTAAGTCCCAATCTGATTTCACAGTGACCAAAATTACTTAGATTAACAATCAATAAGAAAAATTAAACGTTTTCAAATCAAAGTCAAAGTCATGCTTTAGTATCATATTTCCCAAAATATGTCATTATGTTTTTTTTTTTTATGTAAGGAACAATAATTATGGTACATACGCCCGAATGTTAAAAGGCTACTACAATATCTTTTTAAAATGTCAAAGATGGCACGATATTAATATACAACCTACAATTAAGTAACGTATCTCAGTATTCTGGTGATAATGATACAAATATTACAAACCCAAGAATTTAACCCAGAATTTGGAAACACTGACAAATGTTAAAATACTGACAATATGTACATATAGAGGTATATGTTTGCTCTGAGGGCTTCGTAACCGTTAATTTTGCGAATGACCTTAATTCCTTCCCAGTTTAAAAACTGGTTAAGTTATTCTCAAAATATGTAACCATCTTTTTCCTTATCAAATTCTTTGATCTTCTCAATACGTATCATCCTCATCGCTGCAGATTTTCGGTTGCTATTGAAGAAGTAAGTATTATTCTTTTGACCACTTGCGGTATAAATATTCTAGTGTTCTGGAACTTCTAGTATTGGCGTTAATAGTTTAAAAACAGTATTGTTTTTCATTGGAAGTATGTGAATCAATCGTGTTGTTTTATTATTTTCAATCATAGAATTAAGATCAGACCTAGAAAACATTATGTCAGACTCATTTTGCGGTGTTGTCGTACCATTAACTGAGCTCGTTAAATTACTATATTCAAGAGCTGAACGTCCTGGACGTCCTGAAAAGAAATAACACAAAGAGAGTATGAGTAAGTGTAACAACAATGTTAACTTCAGTGTTAAATTGTTATGTTATACAAAATCTTGCTTATAAGTATCCTGATTAAAGGCACCATACATAAGTAATGGGGGCTATCGTTCCTTTTACTCACCAAATCTAATCTAGCAAAAAGTCTTTTTAGCCTTTGGCCAATCACATTCAATTTTTAATAGCTACAGTGCTTGACTGCTAATGCCCTATTGGACGAAGAACAAGCAGTTGACACCGGCGTCATGTGGTGAGCAAAATTACAGTAGGCCTATAGTATGTGGTTAGTTTTCTTTTAAAATCAACTATTAACACCGAAGTGCGGTGTAGACACAATTGTTTCTTCTTAGAATCGAGACTGTACGAGATGGGAACTACGGCCATGTTACAGAATAGTCAGTTCAATCAAACAGGCATTTCAAAAGTAAACGTGTTAATATTCAGTACTAGTGATTCGAATTAAATAATTCTTTTTGTGATGAGCGATGAGTTGGAGCTAGTAATAAAATGAATTTTGCGTACCTCCTCCTCGCCCCGTTAGCTTCATCAACATGTTAGAAAACTCGCTGCTTAAAACTTCGATCATAGTTCTGTTGCCGTACCAAACGTCCATAGCTCTGTTCGAAAGCCACTTCGATGACTCGAAGTCTCTTCTTGGTGGGAAACCAGCACCTTGGTACACATGACGATCGATTGTTTCAGTTTCAAAAATTAACATTGTGACGAACAAAACGATTGTGACTTTCAAAAACGATGACATTGTTGAATCCGTAATCGTAACTGATCAGGTCTACTAATTGTAGGCAAATTCTGACTATGTTTATAACCTCAATTATGGCAGTTTACTTTCATTGTTCTTTTGTTGATTGATGGTTGGAACCAGAAGTTTGGACAACAATAGCTGTAAACGGTAAGAGTATTAATTAGTTCGGTTAATGTATTCTGGTTAAGCCTTTAGGGGTCAACGTCTTGATCCAAGTTGATCTCAAAGAACAGTGGAACCGGTATATCAAACTTTTTCCTCATTTTGAGGGGTTTTGTTGCATCGATGAGTCTTCAAAAGTATAACTATAAGTATAAGTAAGTAAAACTTGTAACACAACGATTAACAGTAAAGATTTGATTATTCGAAGGGGCAGTTGCAAAAGTGCATTTTATAAAATTGTATTAATATTAATTTTTGTTGGCTATGTTATAATTCCTACGTAGCAGGGGCTCAGCTAGTGCCTTATCTGCCGTATCAGTTATCGGTGCTCCCGGACTATGGGATCCCGTAACGCGGACTAGCATAAATTAATAAAAAAAATCTCTTTTGAGAAATCTTTATCCTTCATAAGGATGGAGACTTCATGGAGACCCTCCATACAGATTTTTTTACAGCCTCGCCTACGCGACTGTAAGATAGATTATTCCTCTAAACTGCATACCAAGCTTCTTTAAGTTACCTTGATAAAATTATACATTTGTAGTTAGAAACGAAAAAAAAACACGCTGATTATATTTAAGTCCTCGTCATCAGAAGAAATGAACCTGTTTAATGAGTCCGAACTTGGTAAGTTTACTAGGTTCCGTTTGCCACCTTTCAATTCCATCACTAAACCAGGTCTATGCACCATAATATTGTATGGCCATCTAACCTAAATTATGATCATCAAGTTTCATGGTGATTATAGTTACAATGCAGGAAAACATCGTGACGAAACATTATAGTTTTTAATTATAAATCGTCAACTCGTCTGTTTTTTATGGCATAAGCCGGTAAACAAGCAGACGGATCACCTGATGGTAACTAATCGGCGTCGCCCATGGACACCTGGAACACCAGAGGCGTTACAAGTGCGTTACCGGCCTTTTGAGGATTAGGAGTTTATGGATCGTTGGGGATTCAGGGATAGAGGAGATTGGGGAAGGGGAGGATGGTAATTGGGCCTCCGGTAACCTCATTCACACGACGAAGCACAACGCAAGCGTTGCTTCACGTCAGTTTTCTGTGAGGCCGTGGTATCACTCCGGTCGAGCCGGCCCATTCGTGCGCAAGCATAGCTCTGCCACACTTAAAGTCTTGAGCAAGCGTGGTGATATATCGAAAAAAAGAGCCCTTTGCTCAGCAGTGGTCACTTATAGGCTGTTGTATATGAGACGATTTATTGATGATTCAACAATTAGATGTGTGTTTAATACAGCAATGGACTGTCGCAGGCAGTTGATATACAGGAGGATAAATTTGTTAGTAAATATCAATTTAATTATAAAACACATTTTTAATAAATAGCTTCATCTATCTAATAAAATCTCAGTAATAGTTGGATTTTAAAATTTTACATTGTATTTGCCAATAAATCTGACTCTGTTATAATAATATGAGACGAATAACATAACTGGTAAAAACTGGGTGTTAGATGTAACACCCAGTTTTCACTATTTAGGTTGTGAATAGGGGGTGACCCTTTTGCCATATACCGGGCACAATTCCAGACTCCATGCTACTACTGAAACCAGTAATACTTTACCGAACTTGGGAATCGAACCCGAGACCCGTTGTCCGGCGTCGCACTTGCAACCACTCGACCAACGAGGCAGTCAACACACGTATAGTAAGGTATTATTGTGCATAAAACCTTCTTCTTCCGCCCTGAGGACACGGTGGAACACACTGTAGCGGAATGCCCTGCGTGGGCTGAGCACCGCCGTGCCCTCAGGGAAGTGATCGGCGATGGCGACCTCTCGCGTCCGGGCCTAGTGCAGGCCATGATACGGAGCGAGGGGGACTGGGATGCCATCTTCTCCTTCTGCGAAGTAGTCATGCTAGCTAAGGAGGAGGCGGGACGCGTGAGGCAGCGCAGCGCTGCCTCCTCGCAACCCAGCCATCGCGAAGGATACACCGGGCGTCGGGGATCGCGGGACGATCTCCGGCCACCGTAAGCGCGGGCCTGCGACGGCGAGCATGGGTCGCTCCCCGTCCGACCAGAAACAGACCCGAGCGAACGGCGCGTCGCGTTCCGCGCGCGCTTCAAAGAGCCATCAGACCACCACAGATGGGGCCCAATAGGGCCGATGTCGTAGTCGCGGAGAACCTAACGGGTAACCGGGGCTGCGGCTCGACGTGCAGGAGACAAAAACCGCAGTAAAATTCGTTGCATAGTTTTAAAGATATAAGCATACGTAGGGACATAGAGCGAAAATAAACTTTGTTTTATACAACTGAGATGCTACATTCATAAATAATTAATTTATCAATACCGGAACCCCTCATTAACAATGCATTTCGTAATGTGGCCCCAATTTTAGACAAAGTCTAACCTTTTAGTGTGCTACGCTTTGAGAATTTTGATGGTGGCTTAGGCATCATCCCCGTGTACTGATGCGCGATGGAAGTGTAAACACTCATCGAACTATACCTACATAACAAGTTTACAATGGTCTCGCTTAGTAACATCTTTTTTCTCATATGAGGGTCAGGTTATGCTGGTTTAGCATAGCTTGATGTATTGCATGTACTTTACGCAGTAGAATATTCTACGTTTCGTTACGGTTATTAATTTTAGGAATTATTAGAGATCAAAGGGAGCAAAAGAGCTTTAGGCCTCCCTAGGGATGTGATGTAAAAGGCGATACTCAAAAAGGGCTCCGAAACTAGTAAATTTAGGGGATCTTACGATGACCACCAGATTTTTGTGATGTAAGGAGACAATCTCTAGCATTTTCCTCAAAACCTGGGCACTTTATGAGAGTTTTCTTCTGTCGTGAAACAAAGGGTTGGTATTATTTTAGTTTATATCAGTATACTGCCTCGTTGGCCGAGTGGTCGCAAGTGTGACTGCATGGCAAGGGGTCTCGGGTTCGATTCCGGGGTCGGGCAAAGTACTACTGGGTTTAAAAAAAAAACTCAGTAGATTTTAAATGGATACTAGAGCAAAGTATAACTGGGTTATTTAAAAATAAATCTCAGTAGTAGCACGGAGTCTGGAAATGTGCCCGGTATATGGCAATATACTCATCCCCTATTACATGGTACTTCCTAACATAAATAGTGAGAAGTGGGATTTACATTGTACATTGGCATTAAGTGCCGTAATGTGCACCTCTGCCTACCCCTTCAGTGATAAAAGGCATGATGTTATGTTATGATAATTATGTTCTTCTGTCGTAAAACAAAGGGTTGGTATTATTTTAGATTTTATTAGTATAAATTATTATTATGTGTAAAAAATAAAACTATTGTTTCACATCTCTCCATAACCCTATGATTGACTGTTAGAGAATGCACCCAGGCATGCCCACAATTTTATGGCTTATACTGCAGTTAATTAAAACATTGCCATGTAGAAAGAAAGTAAATAAAACAAAGCAATTATTAAAATAAAATATCATTTTATTAAAATTGTCGGGTTTCATTCGGTGACCAGTTCCATTATTCTATGATGCTCTCTCTATTTGCGACGTGGATAATCTGTAAAAAATAGTAATTAAGTCATTTTGTGCTGAGATGTTCCACATTAAACGAACGAGTACAGTGCACTAAAAAGTATTGACCCTGATATTGGAGAGATTGTGTCAAATGTCAAACTTGTACATGGATTTTTCTAATACATTGTTCAACTATCGTATAAGAGTCATTAGTCTATAGCCATACGTTTGTTTGACAAATCAAAGAGCATTATTTATTATCTAATTTGGGTCGTATTAAATGATACTCAGTAGAAGATGTGCCTTAATTACACTTATTATACTTAATTTGTATTTGCTCTCAAAATAGACAAATTTCCTAAAATTGACTAAAAATCTGTGGTTCAAAACTAGTAGAGATTTTCCCAGTAGGTATATTCACGTGAGTAACCTGCGATTTTCAGTTAACTTTCTTAGAAATAACCTAACACAGAATACTCCGCATACTTTTTATTGTAACCTATTTCATCACGTTTAATTTATTTGATTTGACACATTTAATCATATTCACTCACCATATAATCAAAGTGCAAAGAATACAAGCGAAAATAGCATTACTTTAATAGGACACACATACGACTGCCTTCATAATAACAAACATGGATGTAATTGTGATGCCATTCAATATGTCGACAACTTTAAATATTTAGGCTTAAAAATAGATAAAAACTTCAACTTTTCAACTCATGTAAATGATGTGTGTAATAGGTTACGTTCAGTGCTAGGCAAGTTCTTCCAAATACACAGAATAGTCAACTCAGACACAATGAGGATGGTTTACCACGCGCTTGCCGACTCCCTGATCAGCTACGGTCTATTAGTATACGGGCGTACTTTCCAAACTTACTTAAATGATATTAAAAATTTACAATTAAGACTGATAAAATACTTAGTGAGTAAGAAAGAGAAAAACATCTGCAATAAGGATTATGATAAACTATTTCCACTGTGTAAAATACTGCCCATAGATAAGAAGGTTGAGTATTTAATAGGATTAGAGTATTACTATAGCAATGAATATAAATGTATAATAGAGAATAAATATAACACCAGAAGGGCTAGAGAACATATGTTAAATAAACCTAGAATAATAAACTACTATGGTAAGAGAACTAATAAATATATAGTGCCAAAGATATTCAATAAATTGGATATATTGAGAGAGGAAAATAAGGTGAGTTTGTTTATGTTGAAGAAGAGGCTAAGGGGAGAATTGCTTAAGAGAGCATAGGCAATGCATTCTTTAATTTCTATCTTTTGTAATGTGTATTTTTTGTTTTTTTTTTTTTTGATTTCAGTTTTCTTTTAATGTTATATAAAGTACTTAAT